GAAAACACTGGCCAAGCCCTTGTTGGAGCCAGTCCAGAAACACAAGGACCTGGTCAAGGTTGTGTATTTTTAGAACATACACACACACACACACACACACACACACACACACACACACACACACACAATCTGTGGCTCCAAGACTAAAGATGCTGCCATGAAAGGAAACATCACAGATTATTAGGTGAAAAAAAGGAATCTGCAAGACAATAAAGGCCTATTTTCTTAAACTGTAAAAAGCTGAGGGTATGAGTATTTCTATTTTCCTAAGAAGAAACTCCATAAAGATCTATGCGCACTGTTGGTACAGAGAAAGTGTGCAGAAGATAGACATTGTCATTTTTATTCACTAGACTTTGGGATTATTTGGTATTTTAAAAAATATATGTATTTAGTACTTTAAAAATAATTTCAGTACTCTAGAAATAAAAATGCCTAAACTAAAACATGTATAGCCATCAAGAGGAACTAGCATTCAAAGCATTCGTTTCTTTGTCCCCGGTGCCCTGGGTCAAGAGAACAGAACTCAGTGAAGGCTTTGAAGGAACTTAGCATACAAGCATGAATGGCCACTCAACAAGCATCTCATCAGAGCACAGCTGACAACCTCCAAGAGAGAGGAGTTTTCTTGGACACTAAGAAGCTTGCTTGCTTCCAATAACCCTGCATGTCAAGCATAAAATTGTACATTCAAATATTTAAAAGTATTTATTAAATATAGGAAACAGGTGGGATGGAAAGGTGAGGAATCACTTAATTTTCATTTTTAACAACTACAAAAAAAATGAGACAAGAAAATGTAATCATAGGTAGAAAACAAGATACTAGCTTTTTAAAAAATATCAATTAAAACTGCAAGTTCCTGACATTTAAAATGTTTGGTACTTGAGGTCATACTGCTCTGCTTTTCAGTAAAAGAGATTTATTAAGAGAAAGAGAAAACCATTTAAAAAAAAGTTTCAATACAACTTGCTTCTGGCAAAATGAATGAGGATAGCTGTGATACCTTAAGCTCAGAATTTGTTTCGTAAGCATTCATTTTAAGGAAAACAGGCAATAACCAGGCTATATCTCAAAGGCGTACTGGGATGTCTGACAGTAATACCCTAGGCTTTTCTAATAAACGGACATCACAGGCTCATTATGTAGAAGAAAATCTTAACGGAGAGTTCGTCTGATACCAGCTCCTTCTACGGGTGCTGCTGGCCTGATGAATTCCATGGATCCCGTGCTTAGCTCTCTCCATATGAGTAAACACATTATCCACCCATTCGGAGAGGAAGAAAAATATACCCATATACATCCATGGGTTTTTGTGTGTTTCCATGGACCAACCTTGGCTCTGACTGGAAGAGTATACAGTTCCCCAGTCCATGATGGTACCCAGCCTTGTTCAGAGCCAGGCACACCTAGGGTCAGCTCCTGGCTGGTACCACTGCTCTGTGAATGGGAGCGTGCCTAGTGTTTACGAGCTCAAGTTCCTCCATTTACGAAATGAAGAAAGTCAACAAGACATAAGCTAAATAAACAGCTGCATTAATATGAAGTCAAACCACTTGAAGCCCTGTAGAGCGCCTGACAACGAACTCGCCCAACTCAATACCAGTTTCTTTCTCCCTCTGTTCCTGTCCACAGGTCACTGCTATTTGAAGGAAAACAGAAGAAACGATCAGAGCAGCCAGTCATAAGTTCTAACCAGATGACAGGGGACAATTCCTTCCCGCTTTTTAGAGTGATTCTGAGCTCTCGGGGCCTTAGTTGCCTTGTGCACAAAATAAAGATAACAGTAGATCCACTTCACAGAGTTGTTTACAGAGGAAATAAGTTAATATGTGCGAAGCTCCTAGGATAGCATAGGGCTTGGTGTACCGTATGTGCCATGGAGTGTTATCTATCAACATCTTCATCATCTTCCTCATTGTCATCATCATACTAGAAGAGAATGTAAATCTCTGCATAGGAAAACTTCATGAGAAAGGCATTCTCTGTGCGTGGCCAAAAATCACTGGGACTTGATGGATTGTCTGTCAAGAGTATTGTTTTTCAAAGAGGCATACTCCATCACTTACTTTAAAAGCATTTTGGGCTAGAGCAATGACCTGTTTCTTCAAATATACATAAATCAGCCATAAACCAGGCAGGCCCTGTGAGCCTAGCTGGCCACTGAAAAAAATCACAAATTGGATACTAAGAAATGTCCCTATGTGCTCACGATACGTCAATGCATCATGATGAACTCTCACTGGAACTGAGCAGATTGCAGCAGACTGAAATCACTGTCTACCCACATTTGCTGTCCTCCCTGAAGGAAGATAGTATTTCTCAGCATCCTTGAAACCAGACATGGTCACGTGACACGCACCAACCAATGAAACATAAATAGAAGTGACACAGGCTGGGTGCTGTGGCTCAAGCCTGTCATCCAGCACTTTGGGGGGCCGAGATGAGAGGATAGCCTGAGCTCACGGGCTCGAGAACAGCTTTGGTGACTTGGCAAGACCTCATCTCTATAATAAATTTGAAAAAAAATTAGCTGGGCGTGGTAGCACGTGCCTGCAGTTCTGGCTACTTGGAAGGCTGAGGCGGAAGGATCGCCGGTGTCCAGCAGGTCGATACTGGGGCGGCCGTGAGCATGCCACTGCATGCCAGCCTGGGTGACAGAGTGGGACCCTGACTCAAAAAAAAAGATAAAAGTGACATATATGTTTTACCCAATGGACAGTAAGTGTCATTATGCGGTTCGCCATTTTCTTTTTCCCTGGCATTTCTTTTTCCCTGGCATTTCTTTTTCCCTGGCATTATGTGGTTCGCCATTTTCTTTTTCTTTTTCCACAATGACAGAGGGAGGCTACGCAATCAGATTGAATTCTACTGTGAAAACGATGTCAGAGAGCCACTGTTGACCATGTACATTGGACATGGGCTCTAAACAAGAAAGGAACCCTGACAGTGGTAAGCCTCTGAGATTTGAGGATCACCTGTTACCACAGCATAACCTGGCCAGTTCTGACTGAATGATATATCACTTAAACAATTTGCGGTGGCAGAAAGGATTCCCCCAAATAATGCCAACCCCACACAATTAACGTTTTCTCCCTCAAATGGGTATACATCCCTCTTGACTACTGACTTGTCGATTCCCGTAACAGAGGCAGCAAAGAGCAGCAGGGGCAGCGCCCGTTCACGGTGGCTTGGCAAAGCACGAGTTCAAGGGTATCCCTGACAGTGACACTTCAGCACCCAGCGGTTCCCGCTGAGGCCTGAGAAGCGGACCATGTGGCTTCAACAATGTATCTCCTGATGGAAGATGCAGGCACAAGGAGTGTTATTTCTGGGGGCCGTCGGGCGCAAACACATTCTGCAATGGAAAATGTGCAATTTTCCAAAGCCAGGAAGGGGTTACGACACTTAATTTGTCAGAATTAATGAGAATTCAACTAAAATGGGTTCCCTGCAGTCTAAACAAAAAACAAACAACTGGGCACTCCTTCGTGTTCAAAGGAAACGTCCAAGGAAAGGGTTATGAGTAAATCAGATCGCGTC